CCTCAGCATGTGATCCCAGGGAAGCCTGGAGTCTACTAGGATGATACAGAACAGTGATTTTAAAGAGCAAAACTAGACTTTGTGTGAGAAATGCTGGGAAATGGTTCAGGACATTTGTAAAGTGAGGTGGAAAGACTGTATAAATGTTTAATATGAATATAGTGTTCTTCTGGAGTAAGGCAAGCTGTTGAATGGTTAAATTGTGCATTTCTCATGTTGATGTGTCATGTGTGTTAATACGATGAAATAAAATCAAAACTGGTACCTGTTTATACATAAATATGAGAAAGGACCTCTCTTTGCAGCTATAAACTTGGTGGGAACAGCAATGTCAAAATTGTGAAAGGAGCAGTGGGAGAACCTCTTACGTCAAAGAGGATTTAGCTCAACATGAAATGATGAGGTCATCAGACATATTATGTGCTCCATCATTCACATGAAACACTGGGTCATTAGCATTTTCAGCCAGCCTTCCTTCTTCCATGTTTATACCAGATGCACGTGGTAAGTATTTGCTGACTGATCGCATCCAGAACAAGTCCTGGGTAGAGATTAAAAAGGCCAGCTACACATCTGTGGTACACTTTAATGTATATAAATGGTGCTATACTTCTTGTAGGAAAAACCGAGGAGGAATAGTTATTAAAGATCTGTTCTCCATTCTTACCATGTACATCTTGAAATACATATATTTTATTGATTTTAGAGAGAGGAAGGGATAGATAGAAACATCAATGAGACTGAAACATCAACATTGACGGAGGGCCTCCTGCATGCCCCCTACTGGGGATCAAGCCCGAAAGCTGGGCAAGTGCCCTGACCGAGTATTAAACCAGAGACTTCTTGGTGCAGAGGTTGATGCTCACCACTGAGCCACACCAGCCAGATGCTACATACATCTTAATTACCTCTCTGCCTATAAATGACGCTGGACTTCCCTTCCGTGCAAGCCGGTGAAGTAATGATGAGAATAAGAATTACAGGTAATGTCACTTAAGTTGGCTGTGAAAGCTTTCTGTGTTAAAGTTCGATTTAAGAAAATGTAAAAGAAAGAAGGACTCGACTGGGCCAGTGAAGACTAGAAGAGTGTGCTGGCTACAACCTGGCAGAAAAATGGAGGTGGGTGTGTGGCTAGAATAAAGGAAATACGGAATAAACCTGCCTCGAGATGGAAGGTGGCAGGGGAGCAGGTATTTCAGTGAGAGGCTCGGAAGGAAAAGGTATAGATGTTGGGAAGGCCGGAAGGTCAACCAGTTACTAGTTTAAATGCAGACAGATTTGGGCTGAGTAGGCTGGTGCCGGAGGACTAGTTTGGGTCTGACAACTAAAATGTGACCAGGCTTTAGACTAAGGGGAAATCAGGTATAGATGTGGATTAGGGTGTGCATAGTGGGACTAATTGACAAACTTTTTACCCTTAAAACCTTCACTGCCATGTTATTTTTAAATACTGTCTGCTGTTGTTTTTCCAACACTAAGGCGGAATGTTTCACGTCTAGTAAACAAAATTTGTCTAGGTGCTTTTCTCTATTACTCTTTTGAGTCTATAAATGGAAGAGGGAAGTAAGTTATTTCCAGCATTCTGTGGGGCCCATTCAAGACTAGACACTTCCAGCCAGGGCTCTTCCACAACTCCACTGCCCCCTCACTCCTGAAACATCCAAAGGCCAGGTAGGTCATCGAGTATTAACCAGCAGACATCAAGCATACCTGTTACTTGAAATAACAAATCACCCAGATTCCCGGAATCCAGTGGAAAAAGTAAAATATTGAGTAGAGAAAGCACAGGTAACACCAAGTTATCAGAGAACCACTAGGAATGAGCAGAATAGGGAGGGCTGTTACAGGAACTGACCTTAAGCAGTTAGTTACAGCAGCTGGTAGAAGTCTCAGTTCAGCTGTTTTTTCTTGGCCTGAAGTCACCGGGCAGGTGGCCGGGCGAGAAGCTGGATGTGCAGCGGGGAGAGCCAGTACAACTGAAGCCTGCAAGCAACACGGTGGACCCAACATCCATCTCACCAGAACCCAGCTGGCCTCTCCTCGGAGCCTGCGTCCTCCCTGCTGCAGATGACCTGAAGGAGCCAGTCACACCTGGCTTGCGATTTGGCAGAGCAGCAGGCCGAGTTCCGAGGAGCTGGGGAGCTGGAGAAGCTCTGGGCCCAGCTGCTGTCCACCGGACCCATGAAATGTGCATGAGATGCAACATGGCCCGACCCACGGCAACTCCCAGCACTGAGCCTGGGCCTGGCATTGTTTCCCTAACATGTGACATGCAAACTCCTCTTGTGGCCAAACCTAACTGGAGCCCTAGCCGGTTTGGCTCAGTGGATAGAGGGTCGGCCTGCGGACTGAAGGGTCCCAGGTTCAATTCCGGTCACAGAACCAGTGGCATATGTCAGTCCCCTAGGGCATGTACCTTGGTTGCGGGCACATCCCCAGTGGGGAGTGTGCAAGAGGCAGCTGATTGATGTTTCTCTCTCATTGATGTTTTTAACTCTCTATCCCTCTCCCTTCCTCTCTGTAAAAAATCAATAAAATATATTAAAAAACAAACAAACAACAACAAAAAAAAACCTAACTAGAAATAAACAGGGAAGGGAATTCTGGGTAACACAGTACAGACAGTCCTCGGGTTACAACGGACTCAACGTACGTCGTTTTGTGGTTACATCGCCATTTCCCATTTATATATATTTAAAAAAAAGTTCTGTCATTTCAACATATGTACATATGTGCTTTATGTTTTTTATTATTTACCACAGGTAAAGGTCAGGAATTGTTATCTTTCTTTTAATTTTTTTACTGTTTCACTTCATTACTGCTGTGTATGTGCTCCATGTGAGTGACGTAGGTGCTTATGTAGGTGGGTTCTGAATTACGGCAAAAGTCACGTTACGTTGTGCCGTAGGAACGGATCTCCGACGTAACCTGAGGACCTACTGTATAAGTTAGCCAAGGGGACAATATTGTGAAACTACCACACACCATAAATATCGAATTAACTCGTATTCTTTAAAAATACATTGTTCTCCTCTGCTGCTCTCCAATAAGTATCTATTCAGGACTGTACTCTAAGTTAACACCATGTTTTGTCTAATTCATTTTACTATGAAGTAAGTGCAGTGAGGGTGATGGCACCTGAGCTCTTTATCCAGCCCTGTAGACAACAAGCCCTTCCTTCTCTGAAAGCTACAGCAAGTCCTTGTGTTCGGAGCTGGGTTCTGTCTTCAACAGGAACTCAAAAGAGGACAATGATGGTGATGGCTTTAAAATGCCACTTACTGTCAGTCCAGGTGAAGGGAATATGAGTGTTCCTTGTATTATAATTTTCCACTTTTCTGCCAGTTTAGAGATTTAAAAAATGAAGTTAGAAAAAAAAATAGTAATGAGAGTAGGTGGGACCTAGTATAGCCGTGTTAAAATGTATTGTGAAATTATAATATTAATATAAAAAACAGCATGAAAGAGTATGCAGAGAAAGATCAATAGGCCAGGGAGGGCAACGAGTATTAACCAGCTGACAGTAAGTGGCATTTTAAAGCCATCACCAGCATTGTCTTTTTTTTGAGTTCCTGTTGAAGACAGAACCCAGCTCCAAACACAAGGACATGCTGTAGGTTTGGGATGATTAGAATAAGTTTAGTATGTGAAAGAAGGGAGTGCTGCCCATCAATGAAGGGAAGATACGTTATTCAGTCATTAAGATCTGACCACCCAAAAGGCATTATGATGATGAGCTTCTTTCACCAGTGTGGCCCCAGCGAGGTAAGCGCATAGCTCCCCGCTCCCAGCTCACTGCTTCGTGTTCCTCCACGGTCCCCTCAGACCACTCCATCTCCTCAGGCTGACGTCTCCACTCACCTGACCAGTGCCCAGGAAGGCAGAATGGGTGCTGGGGTCATCCTGGGAAATAGGTAGATGCAACCTGGCCTCTTCTCTGGGCTCTGGTTTCCAACTTGTCTTCCTGACTCAGAGGGAATGAACAATTTTGATATTATTTTGGTCCTTAGAAAATCCTAGAAACTGTTGGTGTTTTCCTATGTCTGAGTTTTTAAAAATTATTTTTTTTCCATGTAGCTTAGAATATTCCTGTTTCTTCTGTCATTCAGAATATAGTTCTGAATACTGTCCATTCTGGACTATATTGTACTCCATTGATCTTTCTCTGTTTCAAGCTCTTTATGTCCTACAGTTTATTCTGGGTTCTATGGACCTTACAAGATAGTACCTCATTACAATCCAAGATTTAAAAAACTGTAAACTCCAAGAAGCAGGTAAAGTTTGCCTGGGATATGCTAAGTTAAGTGAGATCAACGTTCATCTTATAAACATACCAAAGGCTGTTTCTGACATTGAAGAAACCCCTCAGGCTTGGAGGAGTAAAGGGAGCACGGTGAGTCCTGTACGACATCCTGGCCCAGGGCTTCCCTTCCTCCCCATCTCTGACTCTTCCCCTGCCTGGACCTGTTCCCATACCCCATTCCTTTGCTTCTTCAGTTTTTCTTCCAAAGTACTGCACAAAGTAGCTCTGGTTACTCAAATTGCTTCAGTTCCTAAACTCTCAGAAATAAGCATCATTCTGAGTTTACTGTCTTCAGAAAAGAAGAGTAGGGACGCTGTGGCCATTTCCATCTCCCCAGCACAGGGTCTGGCACATCCGATGGCACCATGAACGCCTGCTGAGTGCTGCCGGGTGTCCAATCAAAGCCGGCTGCGCCACACGTCTGCCAGGCCAGTGAAACAGATGCTGGCTAGAACGTTGTTACACAAATGGGCGTCCTGCAGTGTCGATGTAACAAAGAGAAACTGAGCTGTGCATCAGGAACCCAGTTGTCAGTGGGAGATGAGCCGATGAGCGTGTAGAAAGGGAGTTGCCAGTTTCCGATGACAACACACCATAAGCTGGCACACACCAACACTGTTTCACTGGGGCAGGAAGAGGGCGCCCACAGAAAGGCCTGTGGGGTGGAAATGGGGTAGGAACAGTAACAACACACAGGCCGGGATTAAATTAGTTCTTTATGTTTACAACCCATAACCCAGAGCCTTGACAACATTTCATGGAGGCATCAAGGACAGAGCTCCTTAACATATTCCTCCCCTTCGCTCCACATCTTCACCCCACAAGCCAGACTAAATAATATACACTCTCAATTTAAAAAAGCTAAACAAAATAAAAATAACTCCCAATGCAGAGTTCTGGAAAGAATTCCTAATAAAACCGTTCAGACTTCAGGTACCACTGAGAATTAGTTTGGTTCATTTTGCAAAGGAAACTGCATCAAGGAGAGGGGGAGGTAGGGCAACATGAGGTCTTCAGGCCAGCGGGCTGCCTCACAGCCCCTTCCACCAGCTCCAGGCCCGGTCACAGCATCCACTTTGGTTCCAAATGTCCTCAGGGTACTGGTGGCGCCAGGTGCTGTCCCCAGGGAACACCTCCTGGCCGGAGGGGAGAAGCCCCTACAGCTTGAGCTCTCGGTCCGGCTTCATGCTGAAGGGCTCCAGCCGCTCGCCCTCGGGCAGCATGCTGTTGAGCCTCTCCATCAGGGGCACGGTCTGGTCTATGCCCATCTGGATGCGGCGGAGGATGGCGGACATTTCGTTGACTTTCTGGATCTGCTCCGCGTATTTGGCATACCTTTTCTGGCGCTCTTGCATGAAGCTAAAGAGAGTTTCTACAGAAAGGTCCATCTGTAGAAGGAAAGGAAGTGAAATGCATTAATCTAGTTCAAGTCCTCTCTGGAGCGTCCGGTGGTCAGCGCTCCATGGAGGCACAGAGTCCCTTGGGTCAGGTGGGAGCCGGCTAGCTTTAGGGGAAGCAAGCGCTGGGGGATTGAAAAACCTTCATGAAAAAAAAACTTTATCAACTGCAGCCCTAGAGCCATCATTAGAGGGAGACTAAGAGATGACTGTCTCGGCTCTGTGTTTTGGGAACGTGAGCCATTTATACCTCGTTGAGACCCTGGGATTTCTATCTCAGTCTCTCTACATGAAAGAATCCTGGGCTCAGAAATCTGACAGAACAGGGTCTGAAGCTGGCTCTGCCATGTGGGTTGATAATAACTATGCTTTCTAGCTCAAGGCCTTCCTCTGCAAGCAACGGAACAAATTCAGGCCTGGAGGCTGCTGTGAGGGTGAAATAACACCTGCAAACACATGTCGCACAGGACTCGAGGGGCACGGAGGTGCTTTAAACCTCACTCTTCATTCTCCCTCTCTTCCCTGGTGGCTTTCCCTGCCAGGACCGAAATGCCACCCACGGCTCAAGTCCATGCCCTACGAGGTGAGGAGCGCTTCGTGTATCCTCTCCCCCAGTTAAACTCGAGGCTCCAGCTCCCCTTCTGTGACCTCTTTTCTTCCTCTCGTGAAGTTCTTTGGAACCTACCATCTGGATAAAGTAGGGGCAGGGAACCTCTAGCATGTCCGTGCCTGTACCCCCTCCTCTGAGTAGACCCCCACATCCACTCCCTCCCAGTTTCCTCCCCCGACCAGTGAAGAAACAAATTATCAAAGACTCACACTGCTATCCCAGAGTTCAAGTGCTACCGCTGCCCATCTCATCTATCCCAGGAGCACGCCCCTTCCCAACCACAATCGTGCCAAGTGCTGGCATTCCATCAGGCTACCTCAGAGCCTCTGCAAATGTGTGACCAAAACAAAACTAACTAACTAACTAACTAACTAACTAACTAACATCGAAGAGACCAAAGCTAACTCCAACAAAAAAGAACCAGTTCGGTTTTTACACTGTGGACAGAGGGATGGTGTTAGAACTCAGTGCTTGATTTCTGGGTTGGTTCCTCCCTCGTTCTCTAATGCCTAGGGGACAAAAAGACAGCTAGCAGGAGGGGGTGCAAGGAGAAAACAAAAACCATCTGAGTGGGAAACTCCAAATAATGTGGAAACGGCTTATACTTTCAGAGGGTTTTGTGCAACCCCATTCAGTCACTCAGCACTCTGGAGGTAGTGAGCAGGTAAATTATTGCCTTTCCAGGGCGGCGATTCAATCCAGCACCTAGACACACTCCACTTCTGAGAGGCAGCGGGAGATGGGGGAGCCAGTTGGAATCCTCATAGGAACCAGCACGGTCCTGGGATCGCATTTCACTTGACAGGGGCATCCCATCCCCCAACCCCCAACGCAACAGAGTAGACAGGCACATGAGGAGTTTATCATGTCTAAGGCCCTTGGCAATCAGCCCATTCCCCCTGATATTTACTTGATCAGACAGTCTTTACAACCATTTTAGCAAGGTGTTTGCTCAATAGTAATGTGTAGTACGTCCCTACACATTTCTGCATCCAGCTGGGGCCTATGTTTAATGTAGCCACAGCTTTAGTTCAAAGCCACATCATGTTTCATGCTTAGGTAAGAATACATCACTCAAGCATGCTATTCTTACATGCTTACAGTTTGGCTTTCAAGAGCCAATTGCATAACAGTCCATGAAAGAAAAAAACAACTTAAGGTTGAATGACCTCCAAGGTCTCAGAATGACAGAACCAAGCCTAGAACTCACATCTCCTCAGTCCAGCATCTTCCTTTTACACGTATTTCCCAAGCAAGAGAGTGCCCCACTAGTGTACATGAGATTGTAGTTGGTACGTGAAATTTCAGTTGGTACGTGGCTTGGCATTGAACAATGTCAAAGTACATGATGGAAAAAGTTATTGCCTTTTAAATCCTTTCCCATTCTTTCTGATTGCTACAAGAAAGTCTCAATTTGGTGCAAGTAAGACTTTAATACCTGGAAAAGTATAGTAAAATCGGTGATACCTATTTCTCATGTCCTCTTCTCTCTTGAGGCAACACTGTTCCTAATCCCTAATCCCTGTCCCTATCTTTGTATGGTTGATGAACCCCAGTACAGACTTATTCTAGCACATCTGACGTGACTTCAGGCAGTAAAGTCACTAATGTAATTCTGGATCTTACCATTGTGACAATCTGGGACTTACCCTAACTCGCCTTTCCTATTTCTACTTTTGGAACAAAGATTCTAGAAGCATAAACAGACATGTGTTGAGTACTACAGGGTGAACATGCAAGGTCATAGGGATATAGATACTGAGAACCAAAACTATTCACACCCACACAGCTCCCTCTCCCTCCCTCTCCTCCTCCCTTCCTTCACTCTGCTGTTGCCGGAATGTGGATGCAGCCCCGTTAGACCACAAGAATAACTAAGGTCACATCACTGGTTTGGCAGAGCAGAGAGCTAGAGAAGTCTGGGTCCATGAGGACTTTTGTGGCCAAGAGTAGTACCAGGCATGGGAGAGAAGCATACACTTCCAGTCTATATAAGCCACTGTAATTTCGGGTCTCTGTAACAGCAGCTGAATTTAATCTTTAAGTGATAGACATAAATGAGGTAAAGTCCCTGGCCTCAAGGAACCAAATATTTACTCTCAAACTCATACTTAAAACCTTGTCCTACATATTCATATGTTTTTTTGTGTGTGTGTGTGTTTTGTGACAGTACATTTCAAAGGACAGGTGAAAAAGGAGGTGAGATTACTTGTGGGTATATCTGTGGGCTTTACCAAAACATTCGATTTCTGCAGAATGTGCTCAAATTTGTTCCCTATATAGATGGGGCAGCCTATTTGCCCACCTGGTCAGTCCACTGCTGGATATGGATCCAAAATATCAGCAAATCGAATCCAGCAAATATCAGCAAATCGAATCCAGCAGGATACGAAAGGGTACTGCATCCTAACCAAGGGAGGCTTATCTCAAGGATGCATGCTTGTACAGCATCTGGCAGTCAAAGTAATCTGCCATTTCAACAGAATAAACATTAAAAATCATAATCATTTCAATAGATGCAAAAAAAGCATTCAACAAATTCAATTATTAAAAATTTCAGCAAACTAGAAACAGAACAACAGTCCTCAATTGATAAAGGGTATCTATGGAAAAGCTACAGTTAGTGGTGAAAGACACTTTCCCCCCTAAGATCAGGAACAAGGATGCTCACTCTCATCACTTCTATTCAACATGGTACTAGAGGTAAGAAATTTCAAAAATAAGGGCAGAAAAAAGGCTGACATTTTGAGGTATCCAAATAGACACACTGTATCTCTGTTGTTATGACTCATCTCTATTACACCATCTTCAAGGCTTTCACAGTCACTCAGATGACAGTTCACCACTGTGTGTTTTTGCTGACAAGTTTTATTTGTGTTCTGAATTTCTGCTACTGAAAAATCTCACCACAGAGTCACATTACTCATCCCAAAGTTTCCTGACAGAAACACTTCACACTACGTAATAACTAAAATCACTACTTGCCTACAAGTCCTTCCTTGTGTTTTTATGTTCAGCCATGACAATGAGTAACTATTACCACTGTCTGGTGTTACCCAACATGGTACAATATAAATATATATGTGAATGTGCATGTGTATTTTTTTAAAAAAAACATTTTGAAAGCAGACAGAAGAGCTTTAGCATCTTCTCCAATGAGAGTACACAGCTTAAATTATTTGTTACATAAAATTTCCTGATAAAGTAAGCTTTGATGCTGGTTTGGGACAGGTGGGTCATCCTAATGAAAGATGTCTACATGCTTAATGTGATTTCCTTTTCAAACTAAAGGTAATCTCTTCAAAGTAGTGATACATTTTACAAGGGCCTATAGCTTTAAGTTAGAAAAAATGCACGATCCAACAATAAGAGAGCCTCATATAGATATTGTACAAGATGGCCAAAGTAAGTTTAATAACTTTTTAATGGGTCAAAAGAAAAATGAGCAGGTAAATTGTGTTCCACAGTTAACAAAATTCAAGTCTATATGATCGATAGATTGTTGCTTTTCCTATCCCTAAGTTACTTATGTTTACATGAAATGTTAAAAACAAAAAAGACTGCTTCAGGATTTAAGGAGACTATGTTTAAAAAAAATCACACACCTCTACATCCTTTAAAGGTAATGTCCAGCTTTTAATGTGATGTCGCTCAGTTAACTTAACCCTCGAGGTCAATTTTTATTTGATCTCAATAGATAGTTCACTTTCTCTGTGCTCATTCTACACCTAAATTCAATTTAAGAACATGAGCTCCTGGGGAGGAGGAGGCCATGGTGAGCCAAGGCCAGCCATCCAAGGGCTATCTGTCCCTCTTCTCACATTCTGAATCCAGTCCCAGTTCTGTTCCTCCCTTGCACGGGCAACCCCTGTGCTTCAAATGTAACAAATATACAGTGACATACAATTCTGTTCATTATTGTAAGATTTTTTTTTTTTTTAGCTAAAGGGCTAAAAGGAAAAATGACAATTCATCCTGTTTTGTAGCTATCTAAATAATCAATTCTGGGGCCAGTAACAATCTGTAGAGACTTGGCCATGCCTCAAATGCCTATTTGGAGGTAGACATATTACTGATTTTTAGCAATGTAGGTTCACCTCCACCCTAAATCCTTGACATGGTTAATAATTCATTACCATAAAAAGACAGAAGGCTAATAGAAACCAAGGATACATGAAACAGACTGACAGCTGTGAGCGAGGTGGGGACTAGATGAAACAAGGTGAAGGAATTAGTCAAACAACCTAGACACAGACACAGACCATACTGTGGTGTTGGCCAGAGGGAAGGGGGGTGGGCTGGGTGGAGGTGGGCAAAGGGGAGGTGGAAATGGAGACATCTGTAATAGTGTCAACAATAAAAAAAGTTTTAAAAAAGCCTG